GTGCTGACTTTCAGGCTTTTTGGCCTCAGAGACTTTTGGAAAGCACAAGACTGAATGTCTCCCATGTGATCCGGGCCACCAGGGAGTCTAAAGGAACCTGCAGGAAAATTGGCCCTTCTTACAAACATGTCTGCAAATTCTGGGCCAGCTAAGATAAATGGGGAACATGGGTACTTTTTCTCATTGGCAAACCTACAAAGCCTGACCCCCCACGAAGATGCTGTGGGATTTTTGGGAGCTGAGCTTCATGCAGTTTCTTTTCTACTTAGTTTTTTTCCCTGTCCCTTTGGTTCAAAAGAGGTCACAGTCTGGCCATCTGCATCTCCAGGTTGTTACCAATGGACGTTTGCTGTGCTTGGAAATGCGGGATGCCAATCAGCTCTTCCCAGGTGGGTTGGCACAGTGGAGCTGCTGCCTGGAAATGGCAAGAAACATTCTGATCACAAGTAGACTGTGAAAAAACCCAAAATATCAACAAGGGATTGTTTCATTTCCTTGTTATTTCCCTGTCAATTCACTGCTAAAATTTAAATCTTGGGTGATTTTCTTCAGTGCACAGACTCAGACTGTGTGCAGGTAAATCAGTTGTATTATCTGCTGTAGTCTGAACATCAGAAGTGATTTGATGGCTTTTAGGAGCGAAATCAGGAGTGTTATATACAGCCAGCTATGGATTATATCTAAACTCAAGCTCGCCTTGCAAGACTTGCCTGCTAGACTTAAATTATGCTCCAAGTTCCATACTTGGTGCTGCAAATCTTATGGCATCAGGCAGTACTGGTGCACAGTATTGCGTATTGGGATGTCGGGCTCCACAGTTCACATGATTAGTTCGCATTTGTGACATGTTTTTAAAAGGAATCTCAGGGTCTTTTATTTCTTGCATGTCAATGAAACTTCAAGCTTTTACTCTGAAAGCATAAGATTCTGAAGCATGCGTGCATGTCAGTATGTGACTATATAGTGAAAATGTAGTGTCTTGTTAAATCATGTGATCCCAAGAGCTGGAGCTTTGTGGAAAAACCACCGGGTGCAAGATGAAATCACCAAAGTTGCTTAAAACTGATGATGTGTCACCACCCTTTGACATACCATGCAGCTCAGAGTATGTGCAGTGGGTGTGGATGGACAGAGATGATTTTCAGGAATGTGTCCCAAAACCCAGCAGAGAACAGCACCCTGCAGCTACTACGACTCCTGGGCAAGGGGTGTGCTGCGGATGGGAGCCCTCGCCTCCTGCAAACCTCCCCCTCCTCTCTCTGCGGGCACACGTAAGTGCTTTCTCTCCCTCGGGCTGTTTATGTGCCCTCTAGTGTGTGCTCCCCGGCTACTAATACCACATTTTTTCATCACTGGGCCTGTTTTAGCATGAGAAAAAGTAGCCCAAAGGGCAGACAATGGCAAAGTGCCTGGATTTATGCTGTGTCAATGGAAATGTCTGAGTCAACAGTGTAGTAGGTTGAATTTCTCTTTCCTGGGTGAAAGACTCACTCTCTTTAACCTACAATATAAGTCACAAGTTCTATTCAGGTGACAGGAAACTTTCATTTTAAGTAAAATTACTCTTTGTGAGGGAAAAAGACTTCATTATTCTGAACTGGTCATGCTTTGCCTGTAAAAGAAGTCACGGGCGGTGAACCTGACTGAAGCTGTGCAAAATCAGCTAGTGAGAGATCTCAAGTGATTTTAACCATAATTCTTTTTTTTCAGGCCAAACCCAAGTTTCTATAATCAAATATTGAAAGATATATATGTGTGTGTATATATATATATTCTTGCTGTGATGTGCTGACCATATCACACAGGTCTTAAATGTTCTTCACGATAAAATTCTCTTGGTGACTCTTGACATTACATTTTGGCCCTTTTGTTTTGTTTTGCTTTCTACTAGGCAGGCATCCAAATCATCCCTAAAGAATCGCTCTACCTGTTACTCTGCAACTGCAGTACGCTGGTGCCAAAGCTTGTTGCGTGACTCATCAAACCCAATGCGATTTGATGTGCTACTGCAGTGCGAAGGATGTGCTGGAATGTGATGCAGCATGGCAGAAACCGGAATACGCAATTTTCTTCCAAATTTGATATCTGCTAAGCCCCAGCCATCAAGACAAGAGGGCTCTTGAGGACATGAAAGCCCCATTATGTTAAAAAAAGAAAAAAAGAGCAAGCATGATAAGAATGCACAATATTTTTGCAACACAACTTCCAACACAGCATCTTTGGCTTGCAGAGGGCTGGTTGGCAGCACTTAGCTGCAGTGCTGAGCGGAGGTACTGAAGATTGCAGCATGGTGGGTCCCACGCCTGTGTGATCAGCAGAAGGTGAAAGCCGTGCTTTCCGCAGGCATGCAGAGTGGTGTCTTCATGTGGCTGCAAGAGCAAGCCATGGAACACCTCCTTCCTGAAGTTTTTTGCCCCACTGGAAGTGATGTATCTCTCTGGAGAGATTAGGGGAATTAACCACTGTGTAGGTCTGAACCCTGGGATTGGAGCTAACCCACCACTTTTCTCACAAGAAGGGCTTGGTTTCTTTCTGCATGCATCTGTGCAAGAGCTAGGGATGATTAGCCCAGAACTTCTGTTAGTTTTAAAAAACTAATTGTAATAATTATGAATAGCTAGGAATAATATAAAGAAATATTTCACCAGGAGCAGGAGAAAGAGCACAAGGAAGCAGGCATTACTGACACCACCGGCTTGAGGAAGGGGTCACATTTTTTTCTTGGGGGTATTCAGCTCACCATTTTTGCGCTCTGCCAAAGCGTGAGGTAGATCACACTTTTAGGGAAGGAAGAAATATCTAGAAAATTTCCTAGGACAAATTTAAATGCAATGGGGAGGGCTGCCAGAGGCTTCCAATGACAGGCCTGGCGGTGGTATGACACTGAAGCCTGCACCCATTAAAATGGCTACTATCTTCATCAGTTCCTGGTACCCTGAGATGGAGGGCAGCTGCTAAGGGTCAACAGAAGATCAGCTCAGAGTTTAATTTGGAAATACCATAAGCTTATTTCATTGTTCATCCCATTTGTACAGCAAACTGCTTTTGCCAACTTTTTCCCAGCATATTCTCATCTGGGTTTAGAAGCGGGGGAAGATGGCTTGTTAATGCCCTGCATCAGTAACCAAAGAGATGGGAGACCTCAGCCCAATTCCCTGCTTCATCACATATATCCTGTATGGTCTTGGGAAGTCACTTAGGCCCAGGTCTTTGCAGATACTTAGACGTCTATTGCCCACTGATTTTACTGAACTCAAAGGGAACCAGGCGTGTAAGTAGCTTAATTTCTTCTTGCCCCGGATCCCCGTCTATGAAGTGGAGAACAATAGGATTTCTCTGTCTGCCAGAGATATGTGGAGAATGAATAGACTGAAGTAGTTCTCAGAGACTAAAATGACAAGGGCCAAAGAAATATGTAAAACAGCTCATCAGAATGCAAGCAGTGATCTATCTGTTGCTCAGTATAAACCAAGCGTTTAGCTGTTGCCAGGAAGGCTGCATGTCTTGCAGTTTCTCTTACTCCTGTACTGGACAACCACGTAATCTGTGCGATCGCTAATCTTCATAACCCCTTCCCACAGCCTGGGAAGCATTGCTGTCCCGTGCCCGCGTGCACAGGCTGTGACGAGCAAGGTGGGTTCTGTTTCTTGTCTTGCCACCCTGTGGCACACAGTAGAGCTAACCCCTCTGTGACTAAGTCATATCATTTATATAGTCCTTAGTGGTCCCTAGATGAAAATATAAATATAAATTATTGTCACCGAAATGACTACTGCTCTCCAAATTACCAAGGCAGTAAATTGAACCTTAATGTGTATATTTCAAATAGTCAGTGGTTTGATACTTAACGTTTTTATTTCAAATTTGTAACCAATAGTAACCTAAGCTTCTTGTGATATATATCTCCTGGAAAACTGGTATTTTACAGGGAGTGGGAGGCACAGCCATTCAGTCACTGCTGTCACTATAAATTATCACAAGTATGGCCTTAGACAGAAAAAGTGCATCTGACGCTGGGATTTTTGTGAGCTTCTCTTTTTAGAACAATGCCTTGAGGATGAAATGAGCCTCATTTGCCAAATGTTTTAGCAGTAGTTCTGATTTATTTGTTCACTTATTTTGGCAATATATATTCACAAATAAAAAAAGAGGGAGACAACGGGAGAGAGAGAAGGGGATAAAAATATAAGAAATTTTGGGAGAGGCTTCAGTGACACTATAGAAAAAAAATTGCTTTGGGGGTGAAAAAGCATGAGCATGCTGTGGAGGAAGGCTCCAGACTCTGCAAGTAGTATGTTTTAAAGCATTTGTTCGGTTAGTGAAGGCAGCGGCTTCTTTGCTAAGCCTCTGCATTGCTCTTTCATATGTCTGCAGAGGCACAGATGGGGGCTTATGGAAGGAAGTGTGACAAGTAGGCACGTGTGGGAGCAGGGGCAGGCACTCTGCCTGGAGGCTGGCCACGGCAGGTGGCCGGTCTTACTCCCCATTTATTCTGGATTTGTAGTACTTTACAAAAAAAAGCGCCTGCTGAAACCCAGTCCCTTCACACTGACTTTCAAGGCTCTGCACCATGTCACTCAAGGTCATCCCTCTTTCCCAATGAAGGCTGGCGTGGACCTGACCTCAGCACCGTTGCCTGTGTATTGGGTTTGTGTAGCAAGGTCTTGGTAGTGGGGGGGCTACAGGGGTGGCTTCTGTGAGAAGCTGCTAGAAGTTTTCCCTGTGTCTGCTGCTGGCCAAGGCCAAGCCAATCAGTGACAGTGGAAGCGCCTGTGTGATAACATATTTAAGAAGGAAAAAAAACCGGCTGCAACTCAGTAGCCGGAAAGAGAAGAGAAGTGAGGGGATGTGAGAGAAAACAGCCCTGCAGACACCAAGGTCAGTGAAGAAGGAGGGGGAGGAGGTGCTCTAGGTGCAGGAGTGGAGATTCCCCTGCAGCCCATGGAGGTCCACGGTTGAGCAGATATCCACCTGTAGCTCATGGAGGACCCCACGCCGGAGCAGGTGGACGCCTGAAGGAAGGAGTCTGTGACCCCGTGGGAAGCCTGTGCCAGATCAGGTTCCTGGCAAGACTCTTTGTGAACCCGTGGGGGAGGAGCCCACACTGAGGCAGGGTTGCTGTCAGGATTTGTGACCCCGCAGGGGACCCACGTTGGAGCAGTCTGCTCCTGAGGGACTGCACCTCATGGTAAGGATGGACCCATGCTGGACCACTTTGTGAAGAACTGTAGCCCATGGGAAGGACTCACGTCGGAGACATTTGTGGAGGACTGTCTCCTGTGAGAGGGACCCCACGCGTGAGCAGGGGAAGAGTCTTCCCTCTGAGGAGGAAGAAGAGGCAGAGACAATGTGTGATGAACTGACCCCAACCCCCATTCCCATCCCCCTGCACCGCTGGGGGGAAGTAGGTAGAGAAAACTGTGAGTGAAGTTGAGCCCAGGAAGAAGGGAGGGGTGGGGTGGAAGGTATTTTAAGATTCAGCAGTTTTTATCCTCTCCTATTCTGATTTTGATTTCATCAAGTTGAGTCTGTTTTGCCCGTGATGGTAACTGGCAAATGACCTCTCCCTGTCCTTATCTCGACCCACGAGCCTTTTGATCTACTTTTCTCTCCCCTGTCCAGTTAAAGAGGGGAGTGATAGAGCGGCTTTGGTGGACCCCTGGTGTCCAGCCATGGCAGACTGTGATGGTTTGACCTTGAAGAGGCTCTATCAGCAGGAGTCATGTGAAGGCCTGCCATGGCTGGGCTTTTCTGCAGGCTCCAAAATCACCACAGCTTCCCCAAAAGAAGCCAATTCCCCTGGTTAGGATACTCAAATGCCAGCGCTTTGCCATGAGCCTTCCCCCCAGTGTTTCAGGCTCTGCATCTCCTCCCTCCTTCCCTCCCTCCCTTTCCTAGGGAAATGAGGATGTGCAAAGAGGAAGAAAAAAAAAATGTGCTTGGGGGAAAAGACTGGAAGAGTACAAGAACCTTCCCTTTCTGTGCCTGGGAGAAAACATGAAGAGTACAAAAAAAGAGCAATGTAATTCCCTACAGATTTGTCTCCTAGTTCCAGTTACTATCCTACCTTTAAGCATCTCCTTTGGAACGAATGCAATTTCCACTCCGGTAATCTGAGATGCCTGCAGCCTGACCTCAAGACCTGAATTTGCACAAAACACTGGCACATTTCCTCAAAGAAGAAAAAGGGGCCTATTGCTAGAGAATATTTATAGAGAAGAAAATATCATATAACCTTCAAGTGTATTAAGTAATATGTCATTTTATCACTGCCTTTAAGGAGCAGGTGTCACTTGGTATTATTTGAAATGGCAGTCTTATCGCCCACTGTAAGTCACGGCCTCTCAAGTCCAGCTCAGGCATTAGAAATTAGAGCAGCTAACTGTCTGTGTCCACTCTGATTACCTTGATTGTCCCTTAGAGTAAAGTTGGGGTTGTTGGCTGCCTCCGGAGCCAGGCTGTAGTAGAAGTGCTGACCCTCCTGTGGGTCATCCTTGTCGATGGCGCTCACTGTCTGGATCAGCTACAGGATATGAGAACAAAGCAGAAACAGGTGAGGAGCAAATTATATATAATATAAATAAACAAACAGACAACATACATATTTCTTATATATAAATATGAGTGACTGGAGCATTTGAATAAAACTGCCTTGCAGAGGTACAATAGATAAATCAAGAAGAGACTCAAAACCTTTCAGGCTTCATTTATTTTGCTGTGATCATGCAAATCACTTTCAAACAAAGGAGGAGATAGTCAGTTTGCTTCAAATAACAGAGGCTTTTCTCTCATGCATCCCTATCTTCTGCTGCTTGTTTCTTTTTTTGTTTGAAGGCCCAGGGTGTTCAGAAGATTTATTGTGCACTGGAGAGCTTGTGAGAAAGCCCATACTTATTTCCAGCTTCGTTTTGCAGGTAGAAAGGGACTTCAGGTTGATTATTTTATCACTCTTAATTTTAAATCAATTAAATTCTCCCCAAGATGTCAGTGGAAAAAAAAGAGAGAAAAGGCACCCATGCAGGCACTCTGCATATGCAATAAATAACACCAGGGAAAGAAACTAAGACAATGCTAAATCCAGAAAGAGATTTGTCACCTCACCTATAGAGGCTGAGTAAAGTAGGTCTAACAGCTTGAAGCACAGTGAGCTGTAGCTCTGTCTGAATAAACATTCTGACATCTTTTTAGACAAGGAATAAATCTTCACCTGGCTTTTTGCATTCAAAAGTTACTTTTGGATTCAAAGGCAAATGACAGGCCCATAAAGTCTTATTCACCACCTTAAAACTGATTTCAGAACTTTTCAAAATGTGGCGACAGAATTTGGCTTTCTCCACTGAAGGAAGTAGTCCAAATCAGCCTGCATTTCTTGGCAAGCTTATTATTTAGGACACTTACCTTTCAAAACCAGGGGAAAGGCTAGGGAATTATTTCTGTTCCCTATCTTATTAAGGACATCTGTAAATTAGTGAGGTGAAATTATCCTGAATGTGATAGTTGTGAGGACAGTTGTCCCGGCAGTGAGTTGCTATTTCATTCTGCTTCACAGTAAGCTGGGAAAAGCTTCAGGGAACACACAGTGATATTGTTAGCACATTTTTTCCCTCGCAGTTCCTGAGTGGTGCATCTATGTGTTTAGACTGTGCTAGTCAGCTTTGCAGCTAGGAGACACAAGTCCCCACCGTGGACCCTGGGTGGTGAAGCACCAGGTCACCTCCCCACAAGCGATCAGCAGCAGAGCTTGCACCAGCTCCAGCGAGGGAGAGCTCATGTCCACCTGTGACACAGGCAGACCTTGTTCAAAGTCTTTGATGGGGTTTTGGATGGAAGAGGAGCAAAGGGGCTTCACCACTGGCTTGGAGGTGCTGGTTTATGGAGTGTGGAGCGGGAAGTCCTGTGTGGTCTATGACTCTGTCATCTCCAGGTTCACAGCAGAACAGGTTCAGTTTGGCACCCCTTTGAAGCTGATGTGGTATGTTGTGTCCAGCTCTTCTAAGTCCAGGGGTGCTTAAGGCTCTTATAAATAGGGTCTTTTAACAGCAAGCCTTGTCTGTCATGCATGGGCCGGGCTGACTCGGTGGCATTTTTCATAACACTTCTCCCTTTGTTGCTGCTACAGGACACACCGGGTGTTTGCCTGATGGCACCTGCTCAGGGGAAGGCCTTATTTCAGCCATGAAGTGTGTTGCACAGTGAGCCTGGAAACTACTGTGAGAGAAAACAGAGGTGCTATATACAATGCTAATCCCGGAGCTATGTGCTTGCCTTTGGAAAGCAGCACAGATAGCTGCTGACACGAGTTGAGATGAAACCTGTGGTTAGCTGAACCCTCTTTCCAATGCTCCCCCTTTCTGGCACGCTGCCTCTGTGTAGGACAGCATCCCCTCCCCAACCCCCGGCATTGCTAGCATTTCTCACCTGCCCCGCTTTGGCGTTTTCACAAACAAAAGCTTCATAAAACCTTGCAAACTCCGGCGCGTTGTCGTTCACATCCAGGACTTTCACCGTCACAGAGACGCTGCCCACCTGCGAAGGGTTGTCTGGAGGGAGGAGGCACAACGTAAAGAAAGGCAATATAGCAATATATGGGAAGGAGAAGGGGCTGCTGTGCTCAAGAGGTAATGCAGCTTTTTTTGCTATTAACTCCCGTTAAATGAAGTTTTCCCATCGGGAACTGTGGTCACTTGTGGGTTGCATGACTCGGAGTGAAGTCGCAAATGCTGCTCTCTGTCTACCCTGGCTTCCCATCTAATCGCATCTTTTTCGAACAAATTCTGTGAAAGACTTCAACCTGGTTCAGCCCAACGGGACTATTTCTATAACAAAAGTTTTGGACAATGCCCCATATTCTTTTTTTATTGCCCTTTGACTGGGCAATACTGTTAGTTGAGCCTCGGTCCTGGTGGCAGGAATAAGGAAAGGACTCTTTTAAGGATAGGTTTGTTATTTAGAGCTTGTTGAAAGTGGTAATTCTGCAGTTCAGATGATATGTTTTTGCTCAGAATTTACGTTCCTAGAACTCAAAAATAGGGTCAAGTCTTTGATACTTTGTACAGGGGCGTTTAAAATGTAATAACACATGAAATTGTACAGAAAAGCTTTCACTGAAGCTTAAAATTGCAATGAAAATTTTACATTCTGCATGACATCATTTGTGATATTTCTGTCCCACTGGTTCATTAGCTTTCTTTGCCAGTAAATCCATACATCATTTCACATAACTTCACAATTTCCAAACTAAGTGGCCGCAGAACAATTTTTTTTCCTTCCTGTGTTTTTCTACCCCAAGACATCTTTTTTTCCCCATATTTAATGATAAAATGAAACTCTAAGCAGAAAGAAAAAAAAAGAAATTCATTATTAAGAGGTCAGAAAAGGTGCGAAAATCTGGAAAATTCTTAAAAATTAATGTTCTTGTCTTCTATTTAGCTATACAATTTTGTGCATTTATCTCCAAATATATCTCCCTTTATAGCAAGAAATGATATATTCATATAAACAATAGAGAATTTCCTTACACTCTGGAATTTTCTTAAATGTTCAATGTACTGTACCTATAACATGTGTCAGACTGTATCATTGAGATAATACTCTTAAACTATATTGTTTCTCCCTAATTTATAATTTACTCCTTCAGCTTCCCACATATCCATACCTATCTTGCCAATACACCTGTCATTGCGGCAGATGAGTGTCTGCATTTACACTCTTAGTAATATTGATCTAACTTTTAAAACTAGGAGCTTTATTCAGGAGTGCACAACTATGACATTTTTGAAACTATTCACTAAATTAAAATACCGTGCTGCAGGTGTATGGCGCAAACGTGATAGAGGACTGATGGGAGGATGAGTCAAAGGAAGACATGCCTTTATATTGCTCTTACCCTCGGATGTTGCTACAGGGGCAGCTTTTACAGACTCGTGTATTTATGGGGATTTACATGGAACTGCCATGGCCATTGGTGGCTGAAAATAAAACTAGGAGTGAAATAGATGGGGGTGAGATCCCGTCATGTCACCAACCCCTCTCACTACTAAAAAAAGGGTCAGAAAGGCATCGTGTGCTGGAACAGCCTGCAAATATGTGGCAGAGTCACACGAACCCCTGTGAAATATTCCTCTGCTAACTGCAGGTTGGCTGATTGTATTTCGGGCAAGCTTCTTGAAACTTTTTTCCTCTCACGCTGTCCCATATCTCTGGTGCACCCTGGATACCCAGGGAGCTCACTCAGACATGAGGAATGACTCAGCTGTTGGCAGCAAGCTTCTGAAAAGCTGCTGCCCCTCAGCAGATGAACTCAGGTGGTGAGCAAAAGCTATGTGGACAAAAGAGATTTCAGGTGAAGACTGGGTGAACCTTACATTTTATTTGCTTATATATTCCAAGCTCCTTTATGAAGCTCACATCTGTATTTCAAACTCAGCTAAATTTTTCATACTGACACCATGAAATGTTCAGCATCTCCTTGTTCTCTCCTAGCCTCGGTAAATACCTGGCACGGATGAATCCTGAGTTGAGTTTTAGCTTATTGTAAAACCCAGAAGCATAGAGAGTTCAGCATACTAGAAGATCCCGAAGCACTCTGGCCCAAATTATTTATGCAGCAAGCAGATGGCGATGAGGTTTACTTGCTGCTCAACCAGAGCAGATTTCAACTGGTGACCTAGCAGTGCAGGATCATTGCAGCCTACTGGTCCCTGCACCACTCCAGTCCTCCCAGGTAGGACTGGCAGCTCTGGCAGCTGTGCAGTCTTTGCAGCGTCTGCTTTAGCCACCTAGCCCTTCTGAAGAGACAGAGCTCTTGCAGAAACACATCAGGAAGAGTTTTAAATAAATCCCTGGAATACTAATGAATTGAAAAAGCAGCACTCTGCGTCTAATTGCCAGCCTCTGCTCCTCCCACCACCCTGTGAAAAGGAGCATAAAAAGTAAATAAAATGCAGTATTCGCTTGTTGATGTCAGAAGAGTCATTCAGTTAATACGGCTTCCCACTCAGTGCATAAGAACGTGTGAATTGCTGAATTCAGGTCTCTCAGCCTGCTTTGTCTATTGTATCTCTTTAATCTATGTACAGTCTGCATTCTCCTTACTCAGCTCCATGGCCAGCACGGTGATGTTGTGCCAAGAAACGTCCTCCCGGTCAAGAGGTCTTGCAGTCATCAGTGCTCCTGATGTAATGTCGACATAAAAGAACCGCCCCGGATCACTGCTCCTGTCAATCGAGTATCTGCAAGAGTACATGTTAAAACATTTTGCGGCCCTTGTGAAAACCGTGTCTTATAGCCAAAGAAATACCCCAGCAATGGGAATACTGCCATACACAGCAGATCCACATTCTTCCACAACCTAGTCATGTGCTCCACTGGCTTGTATAGGTACAGAGCGAGAGGCTCAAAAAACTAGGAGTTCATGGGGCTAGCGGCATTTAACGGGGAGTACTACTTGGATGGAGTTGGAAGACAGGAAGATTTAGAGGAAGAAGCCTCAAAGCAAGGCACAGCTCAGCGCAGGAACATCTGCTTTACAGAGAAAACCTGTCAGTGAGGAATGTGATTTCTTTTTCTGAGTAAAATAATTATGCCCTTTCCTTGGGCACAATTCAGACAGGATGAAAATGACTTTACATCAGCTCGTTCTCTGGGCACTTAGGATGACAAGGAGAAACTGTTCCTTTCCTTCTACTTTTGTATTCTCTTCTCCTTCAGGGGAATAAACTCCACCTGCATCCTGGACCATCCTACCAATTGAGCCATGTCAACGCAAAGGGGATGATGACGGGCTCTCTCATATCATCCAGCCAGGAAAACAGCTCCCTCTGTAAGTTGATTCATTGCAATTACTGAACCTGCCTGGCCAGTATGCCAGCTGAATGCTGGGAACAAGCTTCTTACACTCGTGAGCAGGGGAACGTGGTGGTACCTGCGGGCCAGAAAACTTGGGTAGGGAGGAAGCTGATTGACAGCTGTCGCTGCTGTACCTGGTCAGGGGAACCATTTTGCAGGGCATGTAAAATATTCAATACCCTCCGTATGCATCACCTTGCTCTTAACAGCAGTTTGTACGAGTTGCCTTCCTAGCTAGCCATGTGAGCGTGATAAGAGACCGTTCTTCCGAAGCCACACGTGCGCCGATGTAAGTGCCACCGCCTAGAACAGAGCCCAGATTTATTCTCATTTTTGTTGGTTCTTTCTTCAAAGTTGATGGGAATTGAAAGCATTTGTCATAACGGATGCTGAACGGGGCTTGTTCTTCTGAATTTTCTCCTTTCCGCACAAATGCATTTACTGGAACGAGCATGCCATCCGGCTCTTTATATAGGCACTTATTAAACTGGGATATAAAATACTATTGAGCTATGTTGTTGGGAAATTCTTTTATGCTTCTTTTCAGAGAAATCAAAGAGGGTGAGATGGCAGGTTTGCTTCCCTTTCCTTCCCAGTCCTTCCCATCTCTCCTTAAATAAAGAGATTTCTGAGGTATGTGATTATTTAGGAAATAAGTATGAGCGTTGCTATATTTTGCTATAATAATTATTCTTGTATGAGGGCTATAAAAAGAATTTCTGACAGTTTAAGGACAACGAGTATCTGAAATTGAATATGGCCTTGTGATTAGGGGTGCAGTATTAATCACCGGTGTCAAGGGGCACAGGTGGAGTCTTTGTCTGGATTCTCCACATAAGTTCTCCTGTTAATAATGCCTGGGCATCCTTCACACTCATTTCCACTGAACTCTCTAGGCGATCTTCCTGAACTGCTGAACAAGAATCATGGCATATTTCCAGCATCCAGAATTTCACAGCATGGGAGCCGAGATACTGGATGCTGGGAAAATGAGGATTAGAGATTTCTTCCGTGTTTAGTCAGCCCTTCCAAAAGGTGTCTTGGCTTTTCCATACTTGAAAAAATGGCAAAAGGAGGGGTCAGATCGCAGTTTTAATTTCAGTTGGGTTTCATCTTGTGTAAAAAAATATGTATCTGGGATTTTGTTTTTCCTGTCTTGCCTTGCCCTGTGCAAAGTGAATGTAGAGCAAGGCTAAAGTGTTGCCAGACTGATGCTGCACAGGGCTGGCATGGATGGAGGAGACCACGTAAGAGGCAAGGAGAACCGATACTTCACATTTGCATTTTAGGTAGCTTACAAATGGTATTTATTCTTTTTTTCCCCTATTTCCTCTGCCCCAATCATTTACGTTTGTACCTACAAGATGTGGGGGAGGAAGGAGGGAAGGAGGAAGGAAAGAAAGGGAAACGGGAAGGAAGGAAGATGAGAAGAAAAAAGAGGAAGAAATTCGGGAAGGAACAGAGTTATAAAGGAGTCTGTACATATTTGCATTTTTTTTTTTTTAAATGTATCTTTGGTGATGCATTCTGTGCTTTATAGAGTGCTATTTCATCAGGGGTAGTCACTGGAAAGCTCTGAAGAAAACTAAGAAAAACCTCATTAAAAATAACAATGAACACTTCTACCCTCTGATAGTCCACAGAATTATTCTTATACTATTTTAAGCAGATTAGCACAAAGCTGTTTGCACCGCAGTGTTTGGATAATGCTAGACAGTAATCAGCAAAACAGGATGCGAGTGGAAAAAAGTTTAAGGTAATGAAATTGTGATGCAGACAGTATAATACTTAGCTTTATTGAAGAATTTGAGACAATGTCATGAGTAGTATTCTAACCTTATAATGTAGGTAGAAAAGACAGGTATATTAAAGTAGCAGAGATGAAAAAAATAATTAGAGCAGCAACACAGAAAGCAATATAATTAAGAAGAACGGGCTTTGTGTCTGCTCAGCTCTCCCAGCTGAAGCCCACAGAGTTGCTCATATAGATTTAACTTTCTTCAAACACTCAATGTTTTGAGTCCCTCCTGTATTTCCCAGGACTATTCCTGAATGCAGACAATTCAGAAGCTGGACTGACACAAGGTTAGGCAAACAGCAGCTCAACACCCAAAGCATTTCTCAGATGAGGGAAGGAGCCGACCTGCTGGGATTATTAACTTGCAGTCACCTGGAGCTTCTGCAGGTTGTGAAAATTAGTATGTGGGCTCAGAGAAAAAACAGTCGTCTCTGATAGATTGGGCTGACTTGGCAGCCACTATAGAAAAGAGCGCTGTGATCACACAAATCTGCTCCTTTGGCTCCTTGCTGAGTTGCAGCTAGTAAGCTCCCATGGCTGTAAATACAGCTTTACCTTTCTTAAATCCTTATGGGAATATCTAGCTCTGCAGCTCTGACCCAGACACTATATAATTTAGTGGTTCATGAATATTTATTAGTACTCATTCGATCTATTCCAAAAGTAGCTGTGTATTTGAGCTGTTGACAAAGGCAGGCTTTGAAACAAAAGGGAGGGAGAGGAGAAGTGAGTTGGTTGCCTCCCCCTTCGTAGGGCAGCAGATTCTCAGCAATGCTGTCAGGTTTTGTGCCAGCACGAGAGTCTGGGGTTTGTTTTTAATGTCCACTTATCAGGACCTGCCTGACCAGTTCATTGCCATGCTAGATGCAGATGTTCTCCATACCGCAGAAAAGGCAAGGGTGAGCCTCTGCATGGCTTTGGCAGTCGTAGCAGAACCCCTCGGCATGTGAGATCTGGTTTGACTAAACCCACTGACGACTACCACGGGCTAAAAAGAAAGAGTTTTTCACCTGTTTCAGCCCCATCACTGCCCCACCAACCAAAAGTACCAGGGAGCCCTCCTGGGGGAACATGTAGAGAGAGGACAGACCTGATTGAGTTGTTGGTCACATCCGGGTCCTTGGCAGAAATGGTCTGTATCGTGGTTCCAATCTCCACGTCCTCGGGCACTTCCACAAAGTAGAAGCTGGGCTCGAACACGGGAGGTTCGTCCACATCCTCCACACTGATGTGGACGGTGGTGGTGTCGCGGAAGGGACCCAGGTTCAGGAACCGCATTTCCAGGTGGGGGTTGGCACCCTCCACTTTCAAGGTGTAGCTTTTCTTGCTCTCAAAGCTTAAAGGCTGAGGAGAAAAAAGTATATCTAGCATTAAGCACACTGAGCTGTATGATTTAGGCCATATAATTTTAATTTTCAGAAGTAAAAGATGCTTCTATATGAATATAAACTGATGCTTCTTTTTAAAAAAAAAATCTTTAACATAATTTTTAATCATAAGAGTAACAAAGATAAATATTTGCATATGGCGACAAAGCATCGGGTGACAGTCCTATTAGGAATGACACTGTCCACACCTTTTTTTTTTTTTTTTTGACAGCTGAACTGAAAAAGCCAGGACAGGCATTTGCAGATCACTTCAGAATACATATTCTTCCACTCTTCTTGCTGAAATGAAAACAAAGGCAGACGCGCCACCACCGCATTGTGATTCACACGGCGTGTTTCATTCCACTCCGGGGGAAAAAGAAAAAAAAGGCAGAAACAGACAGTATGGGAGCACCTGAAAATAAGGTAAAGATACGAAGAGTCGGTTCCTCAAAAATGGATCCTGGTGGCAAGGACAAGGGTGCTCACACATGAGGTGGAGGTCCCAGTTAGGCTCCTCTTTAGTCCCTGGAGAGATGAGGCTCTTGCCTCTGACCAAGCTGCTAAAGGGCTCCAGTGGGAGCGGGGACATGGTCAGCCTCTCTTGTGGCACCCTGCTCCAGTTTGTATCGGCAATCCATCCTTTCTACAAGTGGGGTTTTCCGCCTCCTCCGTCAGCGTCCTAAACACAGGTTCACAATCCAGGTGAGCTGGGTGCTGGGATTTGAATCCTCCCTCCCCCAGCCTAGGGAATAGTTTAATTTCAAAGCACTGGGAGCCACCCAGAGCTCTCTCCTGCGAGAGCCCTTCCACTTTGTATAAAATACTCAAAGTATTATTTGAAACAAGGAGTGGGAATGGCTCTTTTGTTTTCTTTGCTTTCCTGGGATAATGGATTAAGGGGGTGGGGGGGGAAGCTTCCTCTGTTAGTAGTTTAATGAATTTGATTTCCTTTCTAGCTAAACTACTTATTTGATGAACATGGATCTAGAAATAATTGATGCTGGCACTGAACTTTTCAATAAATAAATTTTTCATTTCCCTTTCCTCTGCTTTTCACAGATCCCTGAAGAAAATAGGGCCTCCCCAAAACCTGATTTGACCTAAATGGAGAATTCCGTATTTAATGTGCCATTTACCAGTCCTGATAAGAAATGACTGAAAGCATCTGACAATGACAGCATGGAAGGATCATTCCAAAACATACAAAAGATTTTCACCAGGTGAAGTACACCTTACAGAGGACACAGTCATACTTGCCAAGTTGCAGTTAGAAGTTACAAGCAATCCTGCTGTGGTTAAATGGTCACAACCCTTTACTTGTACAATCCGGAGAAACCGGCTGAAAACCAGCACAAATAGATCCCCTTAGCCAGCAGAGAACCTGAGCAAGACAAATCAGGAAAGGAATGCCCCTTAATTCTCAGGATCACCCAGCAGAACATACTCCTTTCTGTTACATGAATGGCTTTCAAAGCCTGTGGCTTTATCTGTGCATAGGGATTTTGTCACAACAACCCCATGCAATGACAACAACCCCATGCAACGCTACAGGCTTGGGGAAAAGTGGCTGGAAAGCTGCCTGGTGGAAAAAGACCTGGGGGTACTGGTTGACAGCTGGCTGAATATGAGCCAGCAGTGTGCCCAGGTGGCCAAGAAGGCCAACGGCATCCTGGCCTGTATCAGGAATAGTGTGGCCAGCAGGAGCAGAGAAGTGATCGTGCCCCTGTACTTAGTGCTGGTGAGGCTGCACCTCGAATGCTGTGTTCAGTTTTGGGCCCCTCACTACAAGGAAGTTGTTGCATTGGTGGAACTTGTCCAGAGGAGAGCAACCAAGCTGGTGAGGAGTCTGGAGCACAAGTCTTACGAGGAGCGGCTGAGGGAACTGGGGTTGTTCAGCCTGGAGAAGAGCAGGCTGAGGGGAGACCTTATTGCCCTCTACAACTGCCTGACAGGAGGGTGTAGTGAGGTGGGGGTTGGCCTCTTTTCCCTGGTAACGGATGAGAACGAATAGGACGAGGGGAAATGGTCTGAAGTTGCACCAGGGCAGGTTTAGGCTAGACATTAGGAAAAATTTTTTCGATGAAAGGGTTGTCAGGCACTGGAACAGGCTGCCCAGGAAAGTGATCGAGTCCCCATCCCTGGAGGTATTTAAAAGATGGGTAGATGAGGTGCTTAGGGATATGGTTTAGTGGTGGGATGGCAGTGTTAGGTTAACGGTTGGACTTGATCTTAAAGGTCTTTTCCAACCTAGATGATTCTATGATTTGAGCGTCGCGTGTGGAACTATCATGCACAGCCACAGTTCATTCAGACTCCAGTAAGATCACTGCTGTTCCCATCCAACACCTTTGTTTTTCCTATTTAGCTCTTTCTTGTTGGAGACCTACCACGAGACTGGGGCACAGAGATGGGCAGGAGCACCAAGGAGGAGGAGGATGCCAAAGCAATCAGAAGGCAAAGGTAAAAAGATCATTACTATAGCCATGAAGTCCTCTTTGGCCAGTCACAACCCATCTCTTTTCCGCCCCGCTCAATAGTGCAGCCAGGAAATTCTGCAGCCATGAGATGTCTATTAGCTTAAGCAATATCAGCAGAAGTTTCACATGCTCAGGCATGACAGGGTATATAATATAGGCCTCAAAACACCCCCTGAATTCAGTGGAAGCTTCAGTACTTGTCTACCGCCACAAAAGCTTCTTTCTTCAGAAGTGGAAACATTGCAGTGACATAAAAAAGCTTGTGCTTTCACAGCAAAATTACCTGTACGGAGGCCCTGCATAGGAATGCCTGACGAAAGACTGGAGTTCTTGAAATCATAAAAACTAGAACTCACTCAGCATTTAGTACATAGGGTTAAGGAATGAAGGCTGGAATGGGAACTGTGATTTTTTGTGCTGGGAGAGATGATGGTCCAGTATTACTGGAGAGGCTGTCCGATGTTATGGTAAGAACTGTGCAACCTGTAGCAGCAGGTACAGGTGATCTGAAACTTGCTCCTGCTGCCCTTAGTTCCACGTGGTAAATCAGTGACTACTGCAGGCACAGCACTTGCCAACAAGGATATACCTAGGTCTACAAACATATTACCCATTACTGCAGAGTCATTATGGTCTACCAGTTGCATGTTTATGCACTGTAAAAATAGCAATAAAATATATTTGCATGACCAAGCAACACTTACTGTCCATCTGGCAAGGAATGTGCAATGCAAAGCTGCCTAAACATATACTAAGAAAGAGGCCATTATATTTCTTGGTTTCTCATGTGAAGAAAACTGCGTGAGAAACATTACATGTACACTAAAAAGCTCAGTTATAAAAAGAGCAGTTAAATCACAGAAACACTTAATAGCTGTAAAATCCAACTACATTAGGAAAAGACATAATCACCTAGAAAGATCAAGTTAGAAAAATGAGAAAAATGAAGCAGGTGTGCTAGGCCATCACATTTTTTGACTCTCCTGGGTTCAGACCCCCCTTAGTTTGCCTTGGACTCCTTCATCATTGACTGTATCTTTCCCTCCTGATCCTCTCACGTGCCAATGATTCAACACCACGGGCTCCCCCCCCATCAGTTTTGTTTTCCACGGCTGCATCCAAACCTCTTCCAAGGGTTGCCTTCCCCTGCGACCCGAGCACACTGCGGAGCACAGGCGAGAGGAGTGCTGGGGTGGGCAGGGAGAGGTGTGCCATGTGGGTGGGATTTAGCAGGAGCCACCGTTAGAAAACGATTGAGCTTGGGTGGGCAGCGGTCAGGGCGGAGGGCAGTGTGGGGGTCCCTGGGTGCTGGGCTCCGTGCTGCTTGGGGAGCCCACCACCCTGCCTACTGCGGGCAGTGCGGCAGCCTGGGCAGGCTGAAGGGAGGGGCTGTGATGGGGCTCAGTATCGGCCTCACAGGCTGTAATTCGTCAGGAGACACTCAACATTTTGCAGGATTAGTGGGCTGAGATAAGTGGCCGCAAGACCACAAGCAGTCGTCCTGTCTCTAACTGTAATTTCTGACTTTTTGATGCCTGTGATAGAAGTGCTAGTTACTTTGTTTGGAAATCTGTATAGAAAAAATGAAAAGGAAAATTTTGCTTTCTCTCTGGGTTTAGAAATTCTCTCTCTCCCCTTCCTCCCATTTTGATATCCTTTTCCATCAACACCCGTTGAATTTTTTTTTTGTTTGAGTGGATCCAAGGGACAACTTTCCTAAAGTTTGACTATTGATAATCATAATATCATAAAAAACTACAGGCATATATATAATTTTCTAAACATTTATGTACAGTAAGTGGATTGAACGGTATGTGTCTGATGCCAGTACATATCTGGTATGATTGATGTCACAAATTTTTATAACTCCTCCTCCTGGCTTACATGAACATCTAGTAAAACTGTATTCATAATAACAGAAGTCAAACTTATTGACATGTTTACTCCAAAGAAACTGTTTTCTTTCATCGATAAATGAGTGAAAAATTACATTAGAGTTTGCATTCAACATCAACTTCATTCTGGCAAAGCACTTAAGCACATGCTTAACTTTAGGGACTAGTGTGCGCAAACAAGAGTTGGAGAAAGGTGACCATAAATACACGCTTAAATGCTTTGCTGTAGGGCATAGAGGCTTGCAGGGTCAAATCTCTCCCGTGTGGTGTTCCATTTTAGCACACGATTTAGTCCCAGGCTATTTAAATGGAGACTGTACTTCCTTATTAGTACACCCAGATATGCTTAGGCAGAAATACGGTTGCAATTTCATAACCTAGAAACAGAGATGAACTTCTAGCATTTATGTAAGATTGTAGAATAAATATCCTATAGCAGGGAGTCTAAGCAAAATACTCTATTCCTGCCTGCATAGCCTGCAGTACAGAGTGCTGGCAGTTTCACAGCTGCCATTTTAGAGACAGCTCCTTCTAGCCTAATTAGCATTTATGGATCTTCAAGCAGCAATTAAAAAAAAAACTGCTTGGGTTTTATTGGTTTATAAATAATTCTAAGGCATGCTTTATTATTGTTTGTGGGACACCAGAGTGAAAAATGTGTACAGTTCAAATGCAAATATTGATCTAATTTCTTGCATTGTAGGATAATTAAGCTACAGAGAATATTCAAATAGATAAATAGTGAATCAGAACATTCCTTCGGTGGGAAAAGACATGTTTATGCTAATGCTGTCCCCACTTTTTAAAGGTTGCTCCTAGGAACGCAGTCTGCTTTCATATTTTTAGCAATGGGTGTTCAAGAGATTGTGTTTTATAGTGGGAAAGGGACTACTGTCGTGTAATGGAAACTACAGGCATAAGGGAATATTGCACGCATAAAATGTAACCTGGACTGTTAGCCCCATAAATTACTATAAAAAGGAAACTTTACTACCTTTCTCACAGTTATGATGCCAACTTGGTAATTAGGATCAGTGTTAATGTCAAAGACATCCAGTCCATCTCCATCCACAAGGCTGTATTTCATCTCCGCATTAATGCCTTCGTCCAGGTCTTTAGCAACCACGCGGCCCACAGTGGAGCTGACGGGAGCGGACTCCAGCACGCTCATCTGATAGTGCTCTGGCATGAGCAGCAGAGAGGGAGAGGGGAGCAAAAAAAACAAGCTGTGAAACAGAACCGAAAACTGCACAGCGATGCAAAGAGTCGATCGGGGCAGGCCACCACGCTGCCTGGCCCGCGGGGAGTGTCTAGTACCTTTCCCAAAGCTGCAACAGCGCTGCGAGTTGCTTTAAAAAGCCATGGCCAGACTGGATCGCTTGGGAAAGTTTAATTTAGGCGCTTATAGTATCAACAGGTTTGTTCTTTTCAAAACAGTGGTATACCTGGAAATGGGAACTTCAACTAGAAAAATAGGGCAATTAACACCAGTGCTGTTGCAGCCGTGATATAAAGCAGGATATGAAACAGATTTAATAGGACAAGCACCTTTTATTAGATCAGCTTGTACAGTGGGAATAAACACATAAGTTTTGAGCACCACAAATGCTTTCTCAAGTCCGTATAAACTTCTTTTCCACCCTGAACAAGGCTTTGAGAGTTCAGAAGCCTGCCTGTTTCTTCCAGATTTACCAGTTACTCTATTAAAATATAGTACTTCTCCCTACAAGCCCTGTCTTGAGCACGCTTGGTGCATCACCAATTTGCTTAGTAGCTATTTTAAGAAGGTGTTTTAAAAATACAAATGTTATATCTAAAATACTTGTCTGCCATCACACTTTATGTTCAGACCTTCCTTGCTGCGCTCCCTCTGTTAACTCCACCAATCGCTGAACTTTACAAGGCAGAATAACACCAAGGATGGGGTTTGATCTATTCTTATTTTTCTTAATCAAGAGTTTGATATCGAACAGTTACCATTCAAGCCACTTTCAAAACAGGATTGGCAATGGTGCGTTCAACAAGTTGCTCTGACAGAAGAAGAAAAGTGGAAGTTGATGCTTCTTGCTGATCTCAGTGGAGTGCTTTGATTTAGCAGTGCAACATGCAGAAACAGAAGGAGAAGAAGAATAGCAACAAAAAGAACTGCAGGAGTTTTCATTTCTCAGCTAGATGAGAAAAATGGCAAAACCAAAACGGCTTGAGACCAATCTACACCACCGAAAGGATCAGCTTTCTTTAAAAAGAGAAAAAGAAAAAAAAAAGCAGATTCCTTGAAAGATTTAGTTCAATCAAACCTGAAAAGCCTCTTTCAAACTTTTAACAGAAGCATAGAATTATGTAGGTAAATTTGATCTAAAAGAATTTTTTAAAAAGAAAGAGCAAAATATTGCAATTCTTGCTTTGAGATTCACTTCTGTAAATGCAAGGTAAGTTTATGATAAGAGCAGAGTTGCCTATTTTTGCATTGCATTAACTGTGGTTGTCGCATATCTTAGGGTTTAACTGTGTATTGCTAGGGTGTAGATGAACCTTTACAGGAGAGCAGCCTGTGTGACAACACGCTCTGCGCCGGCAGCACAGCTACCAGCCGCTCCCCTGCAGCGGCCTGGCTGGAGCGCTGAATGAATTATCTTTCAACTTCCAGCACCGCCCCCTGTCCCTGATTTGACAGACATGCTTTTGGAGATGGGATGAAAAGAGAATCAAGGCGGCAATCAGCAGCCAAAGGCAATGGCCATGAGCAGTCTAGGAACACAAAAGATCTCCGACTTTCCTTTTCCTGTAAATTAATTTTCCACCCTTTAAAAGAAGCCTCGGGTTTTGACGATTTTGGAGGTCAGAAACCTCTCCTGAAAGACAAGCTGGTGAATGCTCCATTTTGACGCTTTCTGAAGGAAAGTTCCTTCTCAGATCCGAAATTCTGCCCATCTCTAATTGTCACTATCCTGAGCTTGAAAATGGCTGTAATGAGCGCAAACAGCAGCCGCCTAACTCGCCCACCCCTTCTTGCCCGTCCTGAGGCAGCGGGTACTCACTCTGCGGAAATCTGGGCGGGTTGTCATTGACATCAGAGAGGGTGATGTTGACTGTGGTTGTTCCAGCTAATCCTCCCAGCTGTCCACCCATATCCTTGGCCTGGATAATCACTTCATAATATTCTTTTGCTTCTCGGTCCATGTTCATTAGAGCTGTTCTAATTAAGCCTGAGATTGAGGGGGGGTGGGAGGGTGGGGAACAAAAGAAATGGCAGTTAAAGAGTGAGCAGGCAAGGTGGGGGGCTCTTGCTCCTGCATCGTACTCCCTGTGTCAGGAGTGAGACCAGGCTCTGCATTCAGTCTCACCTTTCCTGGTAGAGTAAAACTCACCCAAATTAAATCTAGGTTAACAGAAGGTGTGAATTTTAAAGAAGCCCAGTTAAAATGCATTGGCTGCGGGGCAGGCTGGCTGTTCAAAATTAAAATATTGCCTTCCGAGGGAGCGGGAAAAATAGTTTGGGAACAGAGCGCAGTCGAGGCCCTCTGCGGGGTAACTATGCCCACACCAAAGGGGGAAGCGATGTGATGAGCTAAAAGACACAGCAAGGCAGGTTTACCAGAGTGTCCCAACACTGGAGGGTGTTGAGGTCCTGGAGGCAACCTGGCATAAGCCCACGGGCTTTGCTCGGGTCCCTCGGGGCACACGCCGGGGGCTACGAGAGCAGAGTTTGGGGAGATAACCAACCGCTGTTTCGGGCAGGCTGCTCCTGCACTGGGGTGGGTGGGTGTGGGTGTGTATGGGGTGGTGTGTAGGGGGT